ATCATCAGCATCATATTGTTTAGACGACTGAACTTTCTTTTGCCTCTCACTCAACTGTTTCACAGCAGTTGAACACCAAAAAGTAGAATCTCAAAATAAATTACAGACACATGAAAACTTCAAAATATACCTTTCAATGTCGGGGATTTTCTTTTCAAAAATCTCTTAGCTTCAGTAGATCTTAACCATTCTTTGGTTTTAGCTTGATACCTACAACAATAATACGAAAATACAGTGATAATACACAAACTTACAGTTTCGGATCAGTCATCATAGATATCAGTCTGAGGGATTCAAAACAATGGTAAAGTAGACTGAGAAAACCTTCGCATATTTGTGAAAGTAATAACATAAACGACTTATTCTTCTTCAACTTAGATGCCCTGATCCACGGATACTCTGCAAGCTAAGAGAGGCTGAGCTGGCGTAGCCTCGTCGACATTCAAGGAAAGCATTTCAAAAGTTTCACCGCTGGGATAGTCACAGCAGCATCGTTGATTCGAGATCGCGCGAATGATTGGCGATCACGCGTATTGAACCTTGAAGAGAATGGCATCCCCGCGAACTGCGTATTCCCAATGGAATCTTCTTCAGCGGCTCTTCGAAAAAGAGAGTTAATACGGGAAAACTGTGATTTTTCATTCTAGCTGATAAACTGTAATTGCGAGGTTCGATCCCCGGTTCCTCCATTTTTCCGTCTTTTACACTATCAATAGTATAAAAAACAATTTCTCCAGCGGTCAATATTTATTTATTCTTAGTCTATCGATCGCATACTGCCATTGAAAATACCTCGGGGTCTGGTGTTCAGATCGTTACCACTTCTTTGCATCATCGTAGATGTCAGCGACCGCTGCATCCACAATTCCCCGTTCCTATTATCCTTCTCAATTCGCCCGGAATGTCCTCAAGATGACACTGAAGAGGATGGCCAACAACTTTGCCCAGAATGAGCGAGTCTTTTGGCACGACCGCGCCGTTATCGACTCGATATCCAAAGACATTGGACAGAGGGGGACGTGGAAGGAGCGATGTAATGTGGGAGGGCGAGAATCCAAAGTTGAGGTTTGTGGCTCCGTCTCGGCAGTTCGGGTTTCTGGTTGCTTTGATAACAGATTTCATCTGTATAACAGTTCGGGTTTCTGGTTGCTTTGATAACAGATTTCATCTGTATAACAGTTCGGGTTTCTGGTTGCCTTTGATAACATATTTCATCTGTACAACAGTTCGGGTTTCTGGTTGCTTCATAACAGATTTCATCTGTATAACAGTTCGGGTTTCTGGTTGTGACTTAGGTTGATTAGGTTGAGGTTGGTATGATACGGAAGAGGTCCGCTAGAGGTCCGCTTCCACTTCCGCTCGTTGTTGCTGCCCATATCGATGCATAGTCCTGTTGAGATCGCCCTGTGAAATAGGGTGACACCGAGCGAACCGTCACTAGGGAGCACGCCTTTTTCTATGCTGACCGTTTGGAACCTACGTGGAATCTTCCAGCGTGCTTGATGAGGGCGTTTCTGTGAAAAAATTAAGTCCGACGAGAATGAACGCTCCGCCATTATTGCATTTCCTCATAATTTAGGTAGCCTCTCCTTCTCCCGAGTATCGCCCTATTGCACAGCTCACGTTCTTGAGGCCCGAAAGCCAGCGGCGAATTCGTTATCGAAATGGTTGCTGTATCTCCATGGCGGATACTTCTGTTTATTCAGCCCAGAATATTACTATGAAGTGGCATCTAAGTTGGCTGAGGAGAGTGGTTGTCAGGGTGTTATCATCCCGCATTACAGACGCCCGCCGGAGCATAAGTAGGGATCCTGTTTCGTATCATACAATGGAGTTTCACCGGAGATAAAAAATAATATATAAATCTATGGACATAAGAATAATAATCGAATAGAGAATATTGTAATAACAAATAATAATTATATTATTGCCCTAATACTTATTAATATTATTGATTACAAGTGGATAACTATATTATCTCTATAGATATACCTGTTGTATAAAAAGTATTTTTGTAACAGCATTTTCTCAAAGACATCACGTGTTTTACTGCGTGTAAAACGTGATGTTCTTTATGCGAAATGAGGTGACTCGTACGGTGTAATTCGGCAAGTAATTCCAATTCATTTCATATCGCGTTTTCCACATGCAACTTTAGGCCACTTCACGTGAAACGGGTGGAACTCCAATATTGAACCTTGGATGTTTTCTCTGGTCATTATGTTTGCTGTTCTCTGTAGTGCTCCTGCAGCCTTGGAAGATTGCGTGAGTACCTATCGCTGGATGAGGTCTGAAGGCCTAGCACAGCACGTCGCGGTAGCACGCGATTCAGCCGGAGGGAATCTGGGTGCGGCTCTGATGCTCTTGACCCAGATCAACCCCCGGAGTGGCGTTTTATCTCATCGTATTGTACTATTCTGATCGGTCGTCAGCGTGTTGTCTCCTCTCGCATATCTCGATCTCACGAATGGAAGCGATTCATATCAAATCACAAGACACGGATCCTATTGTGTCTGATGAGCTCAA